TTTTGGCCAAATCGAAACTCTTTTTCTTTTTCATTAAAGTCAAAAAATTACAATTCACATACGCGACCAAAGGTTATTTTTGCTTTTCTAATAATCATCCAAATTTTCAAAAAGCTTATATAGATATCAAACTATGTGACGTCAAAAAATATACTCCACACTCCATAGTTCACAACGTGTACCATTTTATAATATTTTGTAAATTTCAAGGTTTTAATTCAAGGCTTTCAGTCCAATCTGTTTTATTCCAGCATTTTTAAATTTTAGGGAATTTCATATTTTCTATTTATTTTAGGTTTTCCATATGGGCATATAGGTCTTTTGACGCCGTTTTTTAATTTCTGGTCAATTTTGTTTTAGTATTTTTTATTTTATTAGCATTTTTAAATAAAAAATTATTTCAAAACTTGTTTCTTAGGGGTAGACACCAAATCCTGCCAGCGGGTCTCTAGACTCGAAAACAACAACCTTGAATCGGCCCTTACCTAGGTAAGGTCCCGGTACACGACCCGAAAGACCGGGCCCGACCCAAATATTGTACCCACCCTTAAAAAAAATATTTAATTTAATGTTTATCAACCTATATGGTTTTATGAATTATAATTAATAATTATATTATTTTAAAATTTAATATTTAGTTATATTATTTTTATTTTCAGCATCATAATAACGTTTGACCCTTTGTATATTTTACTTAAGTAGAAACATAAATTTTATAAATTTTATTCATAATCAGTTTATATTCACAATTAATCTCTGCATATTTTTCATTAATCAGTTATTATTTATTTTTATAAGATAATACATAGTTTCATTTGTATTTTTTGTTAACTTGGTTTGATTAATAAATTTAATTTTATTTATAAAGATACACATAATTAATTTTAAAATTGTATATATGATATGTATGTCAAATATAAGATTGCTATTTGATGAGACATATACAAAAACATGGAATAAATTAAGATAAAAAAAATTATAATTTTTTAAAATATAATAAAAAGTTATTGTATTTAATAAATAAAACAAATGAGATGATAATTTGATTTGGGAAAAAGAAAATGACGTAAATAAATGAGAAGTTACAAAAATTATAATAAACTATTTATATCAGATATCAAGTCTTCCAAAGCAATAATGTATATACAAATCAAATTACGAAGCATATAATTTTGTCATATCAGCATCCGAAACATGCGAGTTTGATACTTATGGCATGATTGGTATGATGGAATGAAATTTCGTAGGAATGGAATGAATTGAAGAATGAAATGATTATGGGAATGGAATGAAACATGTTTTTGTCATTGATGCATTTGGTATGCAGAAGGAATATGACTGGAATAGAATGACATTATTATTTTTTATTATAAAAATAAATAAAAATTTTTGTTAATAAATATTTTTATGATAATATATAAAATAAAATTATATATTTTTAATAATTTATAAAAATAGAATAATATATTGTTTAATAATATAAAAAATAATATATTTTTAATAATATATAAAAATAAAATAAAATATTTTTGAATTATATATAAAAAATAATATATTCATAAAAGTAATATATTTTTTAATATAAAAAATAATATATTTTTAATAATATTAAAAATAAAAAGTAATATATTTTTAATTAAACATTAAATAAAAGTAAGTTTTCAATTTTTTATTTGAATTTTATTTTTTAAAATAATATATTTTTAATAATATTTAAAATAAATTAGTATATTTTTAATAATATATATTTTCAATATTTTTCAATAATATATTTTTAATATATAAAAAATAATATATTTTTAATAATGTATAAAAATAAAATAATATATTTTTAAATTATATATAAATGCTTTTTTAGTTTTAATTTTATATAAGTATTTAATATATCTAATTAAAAAATAAATAAAAGTAAGTTTTCAATTTTTTTATTTGATTTTTTTTAAAATAATTTTATTTAATATATTTTAATCATGATTTATAATATATATTATATATTTATTTTTTATTATTATTTGTTAATTTTATTTTTTAAAAAATTGATTCCTATACACATGGGAATGTGAAAATCTTCCATTTACTATGAAATGGCTAATCCTATGGAGATGGATTTTGCCATTCCCATTGGAATGGTCATTCTTTCTCAAAAAATATACCAATCATGGGATAAGGAATGAGTAAGAGAATGATCATTTCATTCTCATGTCATTCCTTCATATCAATCATACCATTAGTTATACTAGACCGGTTTTAATATTAGACCGACTTTAATAGATAAAAATAAATATATTGGAGAATAAACCTACACATGGGCTAGGACACGTGGCGTGATGATATTGGTCAAGCCTAACTTGGGCCTAAGGTACACTCCTCCTATAAAAGGAGGCTAAAGTATCTCAAAAGCATATTCTCTTTACATTCATAATTATACTTTTGAGACTTGAGTTTGGAGTGATATTGACTTAAGCATCGGAGGCCCGACGCCGAGACCCCTCTCGGCGTTGGGTTCTGCAGGTACAGAGGCCGTCCAAGTTGAAGGTACCGAGTTGAATTAATTAATTTTACCAACACTTAGATTTAACACATTTTGAATTAATACATATATAGAGATAAAATTTGTAATTAGTAATAAACAAATTAGTCAAATGATAGGCACAACTTTTTATAACCCGATTAAATGACCACTTTATCACTATGAGCTGCGATTGGGGCTGTAATCAAATCGAGTCATTTGCTAGCGCTTGTGTCAATGCTAGACTCAACTGCACCTCGAGTCAAGTTTGAGCATTAAATTCAAACTTGAGCCAAGTTCAAGATTGTAGCTTAAGTTCGAGTGCTCGGCGAGTCATTCGAATATATATATAAAACTATCTAAATACCCTTAGTTAAATATTTTTATTGAAATTTCGATTCGAACTCCAGCAAAATTCAAGTCAATCTTGAGTGTGTGCGTTTTTCTATCGAGTCTAACCGACTCTAAAAAAGTTCGACTCATCAAACTTGATCAACATTAATAATTCGAGTCTAACTCGTTAAAGGTTAATGTTTGACTCTATCATCTCTTAGGAAACTACTATTTTTTTGTTCATCAATTCTACCCTTAATTACCAAGATATATCTCCACAATGGGACTTAATCCTAATAATATGCACTAGTACAATACCCGTGTATTACACGAGTGTTGAACTAGAAAGCTTTTGTAAAAAATAATAAATTTTTTATTTTTTTAAAAACTAAAATAATTTAATTTTATATAAAATTTACTTTGGGTTTTAATTAAATTGTCAAATTATATTTTTCTAATCATAATAATTAAACACCCGTACATTAAATAAAAATGTCAACCTGCATTGAATTTTTTTTACTAATATTATATAAAAATATCGATATTATTTACTATTACTTGAGTACAAAAATATATATCTTAAATAAATAGAAATAATGGTGATATGTATATGCATAAGTGTAGAATATGTATATTTAATATTAAGCATAATAGATTAATTTTTTTACTTAATTAGATGCCTAATGCATCAAGTGTCGTATCAATCGTGTTTCACAGTTTTTTAACTTTATATGTAATTTTTGAATTTATATAAATAATTATTTATTTTTATTACATTGACAGCATATCAATTAGATTTGAAATAAATATCACTTTTAAAATAATACATACCAATTTCTATTACTTTATAATATAATTTATAGTTTTATTTGATTTACAATTTAATTTAGTTTGATAAATAAATTTAAATTTTATTTATAAAGATATATATTATTGTTTGGTATTATATATATATATAACAAATAGTAAAATATAAACGGACTTCATAATATCAATTCAAATGCAACACACTAATTAAGATTTTTTTTTCTTGACAATATTAACCCTATTTAGTAGATGTTATGGGAAACGATGGAGATGGGATATGAAGCGATACTGTGTATTAGATGGAGGGTTAAAAATGAAAAAATATGAACAAAATATCTAAAACGACATTTATTTTATCAATGATCAATTAAGCCAAAGTGACAAATAATAAAAATAGGAGGGGGTATATATTATTAAATATTTTAGTATGACACGTGTTACTTGTGCGACTTATATATGTTATATTATAATAAATTTTCTACCTTATAACATATAATTACATTAAACATAAATATATTAATTGATAAATAATGTTATTTTCTAATTAATTTTAATAAATAATTTTGTTATTATTATAAAGATAAATATAATTTATTTATTTTATATATACAATATGGATGTCAAATCGAAGCTCATCAAAAGATGATTAATTTGATATATTATATATGTAAAAATGATAAGAAATACAAAAGTTATCAACTTTTAAAATATATTTGCAATTCAATGGTTATATTAATAAATGATATTAAAATAAAATTAATACAAATATTAATTTATATCAAAGTCTAACTCAAAAGCATGATTTTTTACCAAATAGGATTTCGAAACACGAGAATTTACCACGTAAGCTCAGCGCATTCTGAAATTATATATAGAGGAGATTTTATTTATATGAAACCAAATGAGTACTCTATAGCCATTGGTTTCTTTTGAAGCCATGATGAAACCTAATTTCACGTGTTAATATGTAAAAATGTAAAATACACTTATAGGCAAAAATATATATATCTAGTCAAATAAAGAGGTAGAAATGCAGTGTTATGCGGAAGTACTTTAAAAAAAAGCTACTCAAAAGTCATGCTTTTCTAATAATCAATCATGCATTTTCAATAAATATACTTACTTTTAATTAAAATATTATACTAAAAAAAGTAATATAAATAAAAATACAGTTGAGAAGTATATTTTTTCTGCTTTTTGCGTCTCCAAAGTTGATTTTCACTATTCTGAACAACTTTACGATGACTTTTTTCTCACCTTTGGAATATATGCTTAGAATGTGCTTATGTTATGATGTCCTAATTTTATTATCAAAATACATTTTTTTGGCTACTTGTTTGCTTACAAAAAATAAAAAATAAAATTATTGGTGATTTTAAATGGACAAACTAACATATATTATATCATATTAAATTACGCATTCACAAAATACGTATTTCTGTGAGTGTACTACATATATACACACACACACTTGGACAGTGTTTGCCGGCGATGCCGACGCCGGTGGACGTAGCCCGCCGGTGTCTGGCGGAGTCTGCGGCTGCCGCGTTGGACGACGCCGTGGCCATGGCCAGGCGGAGGAGCCACGCGCAGACGACTTCGCTGCACATCGTATCCGCTTTACTGGCACCCCGTTCCTCCGTACTCCGGGAGGCTTGCTCGCGCACCCGGGGCGGCGGCGCGTCCTCTCTACGCCTGCAGTTCCGCGCCCTGGAGCTCTGCGTCGGCGTCGCCCTCGATAGGGTTCCGGTGTCCAAATCCGCCGGCGGTGAGCCGCCGGTCTCGAACTCCCTGATGGCCGCCATCAATAGGTCCCAAGGCAACCAGAGGCGACATTACGAGACCCTCCGCTTTTACCAGCAGCATTGGAGCTCCGATTCCCAAACGCCGCCTTCGATTTCTGCAGTTAGGGCGGAGATGAAGCATTTCGTGATGTCCATTTTGGATGACCCGATCGTCAGCCGGGTTCTCAGGGACGCCGGTTTCCGTACCCATGAAGTTAAGCTGGCGATTCTAAACCCTTTCACCTTGTCAAGATTCGCCTCCACTGCTTGCCGGCTGCCTTCCCTGTTCCCCGACATTTCGAGTAATTTTGAACCAGGTGTTGGTTTCCCCTTTTCCCAACCAGTCGATGAGATGTCGGGAAGAATAGCTGGAATTCTCTTGGAAAACAGTAGGAGAAATCCTTTGCTCGTGGGTGCTCACGCGAGTGATGCTCATCGGGTTTTTGTAGACTGTTTGAAGAAGGGTGGGAGTGGAGTTCTCCCCAGAGAAATTGATGGGTTGAACATAGTATCGTTCGATCAAGAGATATCAGGTTGTTCTGAGGCTGATGAAAGTTTGCAGGAAGAGATTGTGAGATTAAAGTTTAAGCAAGTCGATGAGATGATGATGATGATGGACTGCCGAGGGCCTGGGATCATTGTGAATTGCGGGGATTTGAAGGTGTTTGTGGATGTGGGATTTGTTGGTGTTGTTCGTTACATTGTTTACCAGCTGAAGAGGTTAATGATCAGCCATGATAGGAAGTTGTGGTTGATTGGTTTTTTGGAAAGTGATGGTGATTATAAGAAGCTAGTGGAGCTGTTCCCATCGATCGAGATGGATTTGGATTTGCATGTTATACCAATCACTACTGCTTCGAATGCAGAGAATAGTTTCAAGTCCAGGTCGATCTTTCTTCCTTCTTATACTTGTTCTAGCTCAAGTTGTTCTCTTGAGACAAATTGTGAAAAAATCATCTAAGAATGGTTGAAAATAGTCTACGAAGCTGTTAATATTAATTGGCCAGCTGAAATACTTTATGTCTATGTTCGTCTTGATATCGTTCTAAGTTGTTCATATCATTGATCAGTTTAACATGCAGCTGTTCTGTGCTTTAGCAAGTTAGTACATGTTAGAACCCTTTTCTTGTTCGGTTGTATAAGCCATCAAATTTTGAGTTCTTTATTAGTGATTTTGTAGCTCAATTCAAGAAAGTATGTTCAAGGTCAGGTCGATAAAACTTGTACAAGTTTGAGCGGAATTCAAAAGCATGAGAATATCTTTCTTACTGCCTCTATTGCCATGGCAAATCATTATATTAAATTGCCGAGACATGTCTCTTCTGATTAAGAGAGGGTTATGGCTTTTGAACCTTCCATCACAACTACTCAACTGTGGATAATGGATTTCAAATATCTTCAAGTCAACATAGTCACTCAACCTCCAATAGATCCCATGTTTCTCAAGAGCTGATTCTGCTTATTGTGTCCACAAAATGTTCATCATACAGTCATGCATCTAATGTGTCTTTCTATTTCCATCAGTATATCACAATTGCATGCTCATACACTTGCAGCTTTCTGATGTCATTTGTTCCTCTTGGCGGATTCCTCTCGATGCCATCCAAGAACGAGCCTCTGCCCACCACTGCAGCTAAAACCTGGGGACTTTGTAACTTGTGCAATGAAAAGTACGAGCTAGAAGTCCCTGACGTGTTGAAAGGAGTTTCAACTAGTTCATTGGCTGCCAAGGAATCAAGAAGTTTACCTTCTTGGCTGCAAGTCGCAGAAAGTGAAACAAGCAAGAAGTCTCTCACTGCAGAGGTTAGTCACTCCTTGAAATCAAGAGCCACCACACTTGTCAAAGGACTGGTTCTCTAAATTAAAAATAGTTTTAAAAATTACATAAAAGTAAAAAAAAAAATAGGAAGGATTAAAATAACTAAAAACGCTGAAAAAATCTGAAGTCCTCTAAAGATTTTGGAAAACCTAGAGAAACTTAAATACGTAAGACTTGAACCTTGAAAACTGAAAACAAGAAGTAAAGAACTGAACCATTGCTCCATTTGATGGAATACTTCCCATAGGATGGTTTGACACAAGTTTTTGCCTTAAAACCAGTAACTTTTTTTCTGTGTTAACTAAGCCATAGGTTGATACGGCTCAAAACCAGATACTTCAGAGTTGGTGCGAGATGTTCGATAAACAGGCTCTCTTGTCATTCCAGTGCAGGCCAAAGAAGACGAATCCCTATTGGATTCCAGGGTTATGGCATCAAAGAGGAAATGAAGTGACATCTGCCGGACCAGTCATTAGTTTTTCGAGACCAGTCTTTAGTTTTTCGAGTCATCCTGGACCGCAACAGTCCAGACCTATTTTTCCGAGCGAATGTGAGAATGCACGAGCTAATATAACAGGACGAGGTTTGGAGCTGAACAACCTTCACCACTCTTCTGATCCTCAGGCAAAGGTGGGCCCACCTTCAAACCCTCTCTGTTCAGTCACCACAAATTTGAGGGTGGGAGCACTTCGTGATTCTACCGATGAACGAACAAGGAAAATCGACAAGACACCTTGTGATCTTCAAATTTCTCAATATTCACCATCTTGTCCCAATCTTCTCGAGAAAAATATGCTCCCCAAGGACCTTAAAAATGCATGGACAGCTTTGGCTGACAAGGTCTACTGGCAATCTGAAGCCGTGCAAACTATCAGTGAAGTGGTGTCACGTTGCAGAAGTGTGAACGAAAATGGAAATGTTTGGCTCAGCCTTTTGGGACCAGATAGAGTGGGGAAGAGGAAAATAGCTTCAGGGGTTGCTGAGATTGTGTTCGGAAGAAAAGAGAACTTGCTGTCTTTGGATTTGAATTCTCTGGACGTGAACAGCCCCGAATTCACCTCAGTTTTCGATTTTTACGACTCGAAGCATCAGAGACTGAAGTTGGGAAGGAAAACGATAATCGATCACCTTGCTGAGGAGTTGAGTAAGCATTCTCACAGAGTCGTGCTACTCGAAAATATCGACAAGGCAGATTTCTTGGTTTTGGACAGTTTATGTCGGGCAATCAAAACGGGTAAATTTCAGAATCCACTCGGCAAGGACATAATCATCAACAACAATGTCTTTTTCCTTACTTCGGCTGTCCTGAAGAATTCCGAAGCCCCGATTTTGGGTAAAGTAACGTCTGATTTTCCTGAGCATATGATACTAAAGGCCAGAAATTTGCAAATGAAGATTCTAGTGGCATCACGGGACACAATTTATCGAAGAAACTACACCATGAGTGTCTCAGTCACCACTAACAAAATATCATCCAAGAGGAAATCAAGTGATCACCAATTGATGAGGGAAAAGATTTCGAAACGCGCTATTATCGACTTAAACTTACCTGTTGAGCATACCGAAGAAGTGAACGTTGAATATTTCACGAATGGCGATGAAAATGGCGAATCGGATGCTCGGTTGGAAGAACTGCTCGAGAACGTGGATGAAAATGTGACGTTCAAGCCTTTCGATTTCGATTCTCTCAGTTGGGAAATACTTGTGGATATCGATGCCCGATTGAAAAAAGCGTTCAGGCCCACGGTTTTACTAGAAATCGACCGGGAAGTAATGCTTCAGATACTCGCGGCAGCTTGGCTAACAGATGATGGTAAGAAAGCTTTAGGTGATTGGGTTGAGAATGTGCTGTGTTTGGGCCTGGAGGAAGCCCGTCAAAGGTGCAGTGTTAGTCGTGATGTCGTGATGAAATTGGTGCATTGTGATGGCTGTGCGGTGGAGGCCCGGGCTTCCGGGCTCTGCCTCCCGGCCCGAATAAATCTTGATTGATGCGTTTTCAGGTACAGTGGTCTTTTTTTCAAACTCCTGTATAGTGTGCTGACTTGTATCTTGAATCATTTTGTATCCAATAACTAACATGCATCAATTTACCTTTTCATGTAGTGTTTTTTCTTAATGATTTTTAACCGGTGTTTTTCTTCACATGTCACACCCATGAATGAGATATATTACTTTGGATTTTACTTGCTGAGGAAGGGGCTGTTTTAGTGGTGGCCTTTACATGTTATATTTAACTGTACTTTTCAATGAAATGGGTATAAGCATCTCCAATGTTTAAATGTAGTTGTAGTAAATTACACTTTATATTAACATATTTAGCAATTCATTCACTTTTAATCCTTCAATACACAATGTTATCACAAATGTAGTGATGAGGTGGATATAAATAATGTCTACAATGTAGAGATGAATGTGGTTTATCCACATTCATTCTCATTCACATTTTATCCAACCAATGGAGAGATGAGAGAGGAGAGAGAAATATTATTACTATTTTCAAATATCTAATCATTTAATTCATTTTTTCTTATATTTATAAATTTTTTATTTATGCCAAGTGGACAATATTGTGTTTGATTATATTGTGCATTGGAGATAATTTTTTTAGAATTAAAGTTGTGAACCAAACAATTATCTTATGTGGTTCACAATCCATCTAATTAATTGACATTTGTCAAAAATATGTAATAACAATATTTATGCATTGGAGATGTTCTAAGATATGTGAAAAAATTTGTTACATTGGAGTTGATGTTCTTAATATTCAGTGGAAAATAGCAGCATATGATTTAAATGTAATGATGATCAAATCTGAGATTTTATACCTACAAAATTGATAGAGTAGTGTGTGAATGTTATTTGATGATTTTGTTCTTAATATTAATTGGAAAATCACGGTATATGATAAAATGCAACGATGATCAAATCTGACATTTTATTTTATACCTAAAAAAGTTTGATAGAAAATGGACATGAGGTACAATAATTCGAATAAAGAAAATTCATGGTCCATTGGTCCCCTTATTATTCATTGGTATAGTTCAGTTGATTATAGATTATGTCCACCATGCACATATTTTGTCCTTTCTCTATCTAATAGAATATCACAACTAAACTATAAAATAAATACACTTTCATAATTGGATGTGCCTAACATCACATTCCTGTAATAAAGGGTAATTGTTATTTTAATACCTATATTATGGGATAATTGTAATTTTGATACCTATTTTTTATTTATTGCGAAAATACAACTTGACCTTTACGTTTTTGCGAATTTGGTACCTAGTATTGACGTCGGTTTGCATGATTTTACATTTCGGGCTCGTTCGAACTCGGAATTGAGTTCCGTTTTTTTCTACGCGTCGCCAACAAATTCCTCTATTCAATGATGCTTTCATGACCAAATTATTCTTGAAATACTATTCTCCCAAAGCTTATGACCAGCACACCAAAGACGTGCTTTGCGCGACTTCGCGTTTTGGGCCCGTTCGAGCTCGTCCAAACATGGAATCGAGTTCCGCTTTTTTCTACATGTCGCCAACGAACCTTTGTACTCAACCATGGTTGCCCGATCAATTTTCGGGCCAAATTTATTCCTCACGGGACTTCCAACCTGCACACTAAGAACAAGAAGAAAAACAAAAAAAACACACGACACAATAAACTACAAAAACGAATAAAATCCAACGAAAAGTTCTAAAACGGGGAAAAATAGTGATAAAACAATAGGAAAAAATATAAAAAAAATAGAACAAACACTTGTCAAAACTCCATCACTACTAGTTTTTAATTTTTTATCAATTCAAACGTTAAGCTTTTTGGAGTTTGAACTAGTAGTGATGGAGTTTTTGCAAGTGTTTATTTTATTTTTTTGACATTTTTTCTTATTTTTTTCACTATTTTCCCCCCGTTTTAGGACTTTTCGTTGGGTTTTATTCGTTTTTGTAGTTTATTGTGTCGTGTGTTTTTTTTTATTTTTCTTCTTGTTTTTAGTGTGCAGGTTGGAAGCCCCGTGAGGAATAAATTTGGCTCAAAAATTGACCAACAACCATGGTTGAGTAGAAGGGTTCGTTGGCGACATGTAGAAAAAAGCGGAACTCAATTCCAAGTTTGGACGAGCTCGAACGGGCCCAAAACGCGAAGTCGCGCGAAGTACGTCTTTGGTGTGCTGATCATAAGCTTTGGGATAATAGTATTTCAAGAATAATTTGCTCATACAAGCATCATTGAATAGAGGGGTTCGTTGGCGACGCGTAGAAAAAAACGGAACTCAATTCCGAGTTCGAACGAGCCCAAACGAGTCCGAAACGTAAAGTCATGCAAACCGACGTCAATACTAAGTACCAAATTCGCAAAAACGTAAATATCAGGTTGTATTTTCGCAATAAATAAAGAATAGGTACCAAAATCACAATTACTCCATAGTATAGGTACTAAAATAACAATTACTCTGTAATAAATGGGGTTATCTACCAATAAGAGCGCATATATGCTATTAGCCTATAACTACCACGGTTTTGCTATGAAGCCAACAGTTGGCTCCATAGTGGAGCAACCTTCTATATACAACAAATAAACCTACTATATCCTCTTATTACTTAAATAACGCTAATATAATTTTATTAATATGGTAGTTTTATTTGTTGTATATGGAAGGTTGGTTCCACTATGGAGTCAACTGTTGGCTTCATAGCAAAACCGATAACTACCAACTTAAAGTTCATTTCTAGGAAAAATGCTATGGAACCAATGATCTAGTTATAAACTAGGTGTTGAAAGATATTCTGCAAGCTAATAAGATAAATTCAATATAACATTTTATATGCTTTTATTCTCATATTTCATATATGCTCTTACGAGTTATGATTGGACCTCTTTTGTGAATAAAAGTTTGTTAATTTATGACAAAATAATAATTTGTGATATACATCACTACTCCCAGACATGGTTTTGGTATGCAAATATCTATATCTATATAAAAAGATTTGATTATTTTTTAAATAATAACTATTTTCTGCCAAAAAAAATTATTTACTATTTCAGGAAATTAATTTAACAATTTATGATATATTTCAAATGATCACTTATGGAAATTGCGGCTCATTATTTAAGGAGGTAATTAAGCCATATTTTAAGATACCTTAATTACTCAAATCATGTGAATTAATTAATATATGGTATGTAGTGCACAAATTTATTTTTGGTATGGATTGTTGTTTCTATGGGAAATAAATTAATCAATATATGGTATAAAGTGAGAAAATTTATTTAGGTTATTTGATAATTTTTTTTGTAGGAAATTTGTTGAAAAATTAATCAATATACGGTGTACTTTTTTCTATAATGCGCAGGCTAATATATTGGTGTTTAGGCGTGGGTTTCGATTTTTATTTCAAATTTTCGTATGAAATTAACATAATAAAATTACCGTAACTCCAACAAAATAAAATGAGCTGATAATTTGATATAATATGCATGTATCGATATTTTTTTTATAGAAAAAACTCTGGTCAATTTTTTTTTTATAATTAGTGGGTATCAATTTAATTCATTTTTTGTTATGACATTTCAAATAATTTTTGTATGAAATGCACCGTTCAGTTTTTTAGCATGATAAACAGTATCAATTTTTTTGGCATAAAAAATTGTATGACTGATTGTTTTTACCCAACTACTTAAATTCTTTTATTTGGATATTTTATACAAAAATCAATTCATTTTAATTAATTAAACAATATAAGTTTTTATATTTATTATTCACATAGGTTTTTAAAGATATGATAAACTTTTACTAAAATAATTATTTTATGAAATCACATTATAGTCAAATCGAATTTGTGAATAAAATTTTTGAAATGACACATATGTTGAATGAATATGATGTAATTTATTATCAGTTATGTGCAACCCACGGGATGTGTACTAATTTGAAATGGTCATTTTTATGTAATTTTGCACAATTTAAATTTTATATAACATTTTCAATAGATTATATAGGCACATTGTATTACATATTGATTCTATATTTTTAATTTATAAATATTATTTAATGAGAAATTTTAATAAATATTAATTAATATCTTTTGCCCTTGCATCGTACGGGATTCGTACTAGTTTTTTTGAACGAACTTCAAAATTACTCGTGCTTTCAGATATGATAAAATCCTTGTAATTATTAAAAATAATTTTTTATTTTAAAGTTTATCTTGTGAAATCTCATGCGTACCACATGGAGATCGACTTTTAATAACCCATCAACAAATTTCCAAAATAATGATGAGAAATTTTAATTTGAAAGCAAGATCATTATTCGTTACCTCTCTCTAAAACCTTTTCTCTCTCCGTAAGAAAAAAAAAAGCTTCAAATTGAAATCTCCCGTGCCTTCCCCGGCGGGGCCGCCGGTCTTCTCGACGGTGGCCGGTTCCTGGCTTGCGACCTGTACTTGATTAGCAACCGGATCCCATCTTCATTGAGCGGTTGTGGAGTCGGTCGGTCCCGAGTGGTCTTCAGCGAATTAGGGCTGCCATCTCGAGACGATTTCGCCGGTTTCCATGGCGGCGAGGCGGAGGAGGGCTGTGGTGTTCTTCGGGGGTGGGTTGCGGCTCCGATTGCTGCGTTGGTGGTCGGGGCGGAGGTCGGTGGCTGCCTACTCTGCGGTTCTTTTTTCCTCTGGTGTTTAGGAAGAAGAGTCGGCCGTTGCGCCGGGCCTGGCCGTGGTGTGGCTCGGTCTGGGGTGGTGGTTGTGTGGTGTGGGGTGGGCTGTACGTCTGACCTCCGGCTGAGGGGTTGTGGTCGGCCGCCTAGGCGCGGGTCGTGGTTTTGGTGTTTCGATTCTAGTCAGGCCGTGATTGGCAGTTTCTGGTGTTGAAACTCGGGCCGTGGTCCGGCCGGTTGGAGGTTGATCGTGGTGTTGCCGTTGGGTTTTGGCCGGTGTGTTAGCCCGTTCGTGGGAAGGGCTCTTCTTTGTTTTGTGTTTTTTGGGTTTGTGTTTTGTGTGGTGTTTGTGTTTGTTTGTGTTTTCTTTTTCCTTTGTTAGTGTAATTATCCCGTATGGGATCTAGATTCTCATGTTGGGAGTTAGGTATTCTCCTGGTGAGAGTTAGACTTTAATATCCCATGTGGGATCTAGATTTTCCTGTTGGGAGTTTTTTTATTATCGTGGGTGCGTTGTGGTATTTAGGCTCTTCCGGGATGTCCTCTCTCTAGATTCGGTTTTTGGCCGAACTCTAGTTGTAATTATGTGTGTTAGTTATAAAATTCCTATCGTTTCGAAAAAAAAGAAAAAAAGGAAGATCATTGATTATAGCTTATAAGAAATTGGAGTCAATCCTTTATCACGTATCCTTTCATTTTCAACAAAAATAACGCAATCTAAAATATTCTGAACTGTAGGTGACCATCCATCCAGTTAACGAATGAAAAACTTCCGGACGACAAGAGTACTTCTTTTAATTTGGTTTCGTAGATGCTATGGGCCCATGTAGTTTATTTTATTTTTTCAAAACATAATAAAGTAAAATTGAACTAAAATTTGTAAAGTCAAAGTTCTCTATAGTTCAAGTTTCATTTTTTCAATAATCAAAATTTAAGTTGTAGAGCCAATGGTATTGAAAGGTTAAAATTAATATTTAGGTTGCTTAAGTCAAAATATTTGAACAGTCCTGATTGATATATTATACCAGGTTTTGATATAAGTTATTTTGATTTTTGGTTGAATTTATTGAATACAACGACTTAATTTTGAAGGAAAAAAAAAAATGAGTTTGGTTGAATGAGATTTTGCGTTTATATTTAAATATTAACTAAAATATAATTAAATTTATGTGATATAAAAGTATGGGAGATGTTATAGAAAATAATATTTAGTTAAAAAATATGTGTGTACAAAGAAATTAACTAAGTTGATGTTATGGGACATAAATTGATTGGTATTGTTCAATTATATTGATAGTGTTTGTAAAAGTTTGATCGAATCAAAGTTGAGTTAAAAAAAAAAAATTAGTTATGTATTGTAGTGGAATCAATATATTCTATTTCTTATTTTGTTTTTTCACATGATTAAAAACTTAAATTTATTACTATAATACTTTGAGCAAAATTATGAATGAAATATGGTCGCTCATCTAAAAATATCCACTCACTAGATTTTCTATTTATTTTATTCTCTGTAAGACTCTAATAACAGAAAATAATATTGGTTTGCATCAAATCTATTTATCAATGGCGGAAATTGTAGCTATTCAGCTCCCCTATTGCTCGACGGTAATGGTTCCATTGCAGTTGCAGTCTGCGTTTTCTCAAAGTTCCCAAATCTTTTGTCGATAACTCCGTTTTCCCTTTATCGATTTTCTTGTGCCGTTTCTCTTCCTCGTTTTGTGTGTCAACGGATTGATGCCTTGAAAAAGTTTGGATATTTCGTTGTTTCCGATTCACAGCTTCGTGATTCTAGGGTTTTTTTTAGTGTCTGAACCTTCAGAATCGATACGAATCGAGATGGCGGTGAATGGGCAGGGTATAGAGCCTGCCTTGTTGGATGACATCATCAATCGTCTGTTGGAGCCGCGAAACGCGAGGACTGCGCGGCAGGTGCAGCTGACGGAGAACGAGATCCGGGCTCTGTGCACGACGTCGCGTGAAATCTTCCTTTCACAGCCTAATCTCCTCGAGCTGGAAGCCCCAATCAAGATCTGCGGTATACTTTTTTNATTTCCCTTTGTCTCGTATCTGGATAATTGCATTAGTGAGTTGCCTTTGCTTGCATGCGTGCCTTGTTGTGAAAAAAAATTCGCCTTTATGGTCACTAGTTTATGGTTGCTGTTGATTTGGAACAGTGTGTTCTATCAAGTTTTCCTTTGCGAGAGAGGAATAAAATTCATACTAATCATATGAAAGTCAGACGGGATGTTCTGGAGGGATATTAATTTTCCCTTTCCCAAACTGGATATTTGCGGTGTAATCAGTGCTAAGTTTTGTCCTGATTTAATAAGTTGAGGGAAGGTGATTTGTAGATCCTAATGATATCTTTGTTCCATGATGTTGGGTAGTTTCCTGACAGCTGACATCTTAGTGATGCCCTTCTGATGATGGAAAGTAACCTTATTAGTATTCTCCTAGATTCTTATGGAAGATCAAAGATCTATTTTTGCAAAATACTATAATTTTTTTATTGGAATTTGATCTATCCTCTTGCATAAAATATCTGATATGTTGCCTTCATTTTGATTTTTTTTTTTTTTTGGTTTCACGAGTGAAAACTGTGCAAGTCAGCAAGGGAATAAGATATCTGACCTGAAGGCGGAGTATATAACTCATAAGTCATAAGTTGCTGTTGCAACTGAATAGCAGATTCTCAAAGTTTTGGTTTTTACTAAAGTATACCATTCCTTTGGGGTGATATTGGGGAATTCTACATTACAAATTCTCATTTAGTGCTGGTGCTGATAGTATCTCTTCATTTAATTATTGAATTGGCTACTTTGAGAATTGAGAACCCGTTATGTAGTTCTGTGATCAAAGGTGGGTGCGAGGTGTAGTGTGCTCTTTTGGAACACAAGTGTGAAAAGCAAAATACCAGTTTCTTATTAGACTACCAAGTGCAAACTGCAAAGTGTAGTGTTCTCTTTCAATATGTATATTTGTTCACATATTTATCACACTTATATGGAGCCATGTAGGTGGAATTGAAAACTTGAAAATAGGGAGAAAGACATCTGTTGTGGATGTTTGGGCATTGGCTTGATGTAGACCAAATGGACAAACTATG